GGACCATGCTCATAATCGGGTCAAGTACATACCAAAATAGTTATGGACTTAGACACTAATCCAACAAGGTGTACATGGTCTGGACCAAAACCCTAAAATTTAGGGTTTGTGCACTATTTAAACACCTTTATAGCCCCCATTAACCTTTTTTTCGTCAGCCTCCAGCCCCATTTCGACCCATTTGCAAACCCTAATCCATTTGAGAGCATTTTTGAGCCTTGAGTGTGTATTTTGGTGTTCTTGAAGGAGGAAGAAGGTAGAGAAAACCATCCTAAAGAGTGGAGCACTGTGGATCCAAAATCACATCATCATTTGACACTATTTGAAGGTAAAAAGCTTTGATCTTGATGAAGTATTGCTTAGATCTTGTTTAGCCAGGGATTTGTGTTCTTTTTGGTCCCATAAGCTTGGTATTATGAGTATGGGTTACTATAATTCATATGAGTTGTCCTTTCGGATGTTTTGGAGTGTTTAGAAGCATAAAAATGTAATTTTGGACCTTAGTTCCCTTCCATGCATGAACTAGGATGTCTTAATGAGTTGAGAAGTTAGGGTTTTTGGTATTGAGCACGTAAAAGCCAAGCAAGACCATAAATTTGGAAACTTTATAGTTAAGGACATCATTTGGTTCTAGATTTGGATTTTGGACGAAAGAGCTTACAGAATTAAGCTCTTAATAGAAGGGAAAGGAGGCAGTATGTATGTTGGGCGTACCCCACATACGCCGTACGTACGAAGTCAACGACCCCGTTTCTGGTCAAGACTCGAGTACGCTAAGCGTATAAGCTGAGTACGCTGGGCGTACTCAACTGAGTTGAGTCGGTTGGCTTTTTGAGTTTTAGACTTTGACCAAGTTTGACCAAAGGGTATTTTGGGTATTTTAAGTTGTAGTTGAGATTTGTCACTATCTGGTGTATAGGTGACTGATAGTGCTGATATTTAGAGAAATGACTTATTCAACTATCTGTTCAGACCGAGAGGTGAGTTTTTCCTCACTGTACTTGTGGGTAGAAGGCACCAATGTCGGCCCTCTAGATTATGTATCCTGCTATAGAGGATGTTGTTATGTTGTTGTGATCTATTATATCTGTGTCCTGATATATAGGATGTTGCTATGCGACAGTGATCTGTAGATTTGTCTGTCTGTTGAATGGTTATATGATTATCTGTTGTTGGATATATGCTATTTGTTATGTATATGTCGACATGGTATCGTGGTGTTGAGACTGTACTGCTTTGTGATGTCAGTCAACAAACCTGGGGCAATCCAACTGGAAGGTTGTGGGTCGGGGCATTCAAATCAGAAGGGTGTGGGCCAGGGGTAATCCAAACAGGAGGTTGTGGAGCCAATATGTATTAGGCAATTCAACCGAAAGGTTGTGATCTAGGGCATTCGAACCGGAATGTTATGAGCCAGGGGTAATCCAACCAGCGGGTTGTGGACCCACTATTTGTTTGGTTATATGTTTGTGTGGTGGTACTTTGGGGGAACTGGCTAAACTTTGACTTACAGTTTCAGTTTATTGTTTCAGGTACTTTAGATGATCGTGGCAAAGCAAAAACGTGATCATACACATCCCTCGTATTTTATGTTATTTGGAATTTGGGATACTCTGGTTATTGATTATCACTTTTGAAACAATGTTTTGTAAACAATTATGGTCATTGGGTTGTTTTTGAAAAATTAAACATTTACTCTGATTTTTGAGATGTTTCAGTGGCATAGGAGGGAGTGTGATTCTTGTGACACCACTCCCTCCAACCTTATGCGTCCTCATAATTTTGTTAACCACACTCAACAACCTTAACCTAAAGAAACAACGTGTAACTGATCAAGTTAGCAATTCATGCCCGTCTCAAGCGTAAATAGGCTAGGAAACCTACATTTGAGAGAGAGGTGGATGTGGAACCGAAAAATTGTTTTCTTTCAATTACCTATTTTCCTATATGAATTAGCAAAGGACATGCTAATATTTTGAAAATGCATCCTCAAATTTTATAATGGCGCTCCTAACTCGTGAATTAAAATTCGACCCAACCATAGAGATCGAAAATTATCAAGCTTATGAATAAAGATGATCACATTTTTTAAAAACGAATTATCTTCCATATTGAATCTCCACCACTATTAGGCAAGAAAGGAAACAAAGACGCACAATTAATTACCACCTTGTAACTTCGATGCAAATACTAAATTCCACACAAACCAAGCAAAGTTTTCTGAATCATCGGATGAACATCCCCCCTACCCCACCAAAGGTAGCTACTTCTCAAACCCTCCGATGATCTAATGACTTCTTTTAGGTTCTTAAACACGGAGAAATAGAAAAAGAGGGAGGCTTCCGACAATGTTAAAGGATTGTTGTATTATTAATGTATTATAATCACAATATCTAGAGAAGACAATGGAACCCACTTGGTTTTCCAAGGGTTTCAACTCCCATTGTTGCTTGATGGATATAGCCTAGTCTGGGGATAATGTCGAGGTTGAAAGTATAGTTAGTGTCACCTCTCAATTAATTAATTAACATTTGGATTACTCAAGATCTTCATGTTGTTATGAGATGAGCATGTATACTCTCTCATAATAACCTCAACCTGGACATCGTGAATTAGTTATCACTAGGTTTAGATTTTATATTGGTATATCGAGATTCCATCATGCAACTAATGATATTTCCATTAGGCTTTCATCATGTTTATACATATATTCTACTTGCTATAAAATATATAAGATCGAATGCTAATTAAGTAATTATAATACGTAGAGAATGGAACTAATAACCATTGTCTTCCTTCAGACACCACCACGGATGTTAACATGGCTGCTAATATAGAATATACTAATATTAACATATGTCTACATAAAGAAAGAGAGATTCCATTCTTTGGTTTACTCATGCACATACATGAAAGGGAAGATTAAGACATAATATCTGATATATGATCTTTAGATATGTTAATTATTAGCCTAAAAACAGTAACCAACACCTTTTTGAATCGACAACCTACCAACTACGCTTAAATCTACTCACCAAAATGAAAAGAAAAAGAAATTAAAGAAGATTATAAGTCATTTTAAAATCAAATTAAGTTGGTACCCAAGCAGTTGTAAAAACCACATTATGTCCTTTCCAAGTAAGAACAAGATCATCTTCTTCCTTCTTCAACCCCCATCCAGCTGCATGTTCATCCAGCATCCCTTTCACTTCTGTTACGATATCTTCTCCAAACCCAACCCCACGAAACCCTGTATTTCTCATTCTCTGAACCCATCTTGCTCGTGGCTCAAGTCGCTCAACTCTATGTAACCCTTCATGGGCTATAACATTCTCGATCTTCCAACCGATATCAGCCTCGTACCACTGTCTTTGCTTGCTTCCTTTTGGTAAAAAAGTGTCGACTATGTCGTATGGGATCCATAAGTAATTAAAAGCTGACCTTAATCTGCAAACCAAGTTATTTGATGTGAAATCTGCATCTTCATCTGCTAAAACTACGAGGGTTGGATTCAGACTTCGGATTTGTTTCAAGAATAAAGCTCGTGGGGTTGCATCTTCGAAAGAAAAGGGAGTCGTCGACGTCGTTGCTGTTGGGGTTTCTTCTGGTATGTAATGAAGCATCATGTGACAGTTTATTACGAGTGCTTCGTTAGTCTCGTTTCCATGTACTAGGTTTTGAAGCTTCAGATGTTCGATTAACGAAGAGAATCCATCTGAAGAACTCGAAGGAATTACATTGAAATCCAAGATTATGTTTCTTGAACGAGCAAAGTTTACTAACTTAATCCCTAGCTCATCGTATGACAGATCCAGCATCGGAGGGACATCCTCCGTGGCTCCAGCTATCGTGAGCTTGACGACCGGTGGACCTTCTAATTTCCCAGCCATGGCGTCAATCAAAGTAGGGATTTGCATGCAATGTGTCAGACTCAAATCGACGATGTGAACAGTCGAGTATCCCTCCACTGCTTCAAGTATGGCAGCGTTGGCAGCTGTGAAACCAAACCGATGCCATGGCGTCAAGTCAACAAAGCTCGCAAGCTCAATAATGGAAAACTTATGCGTTTGGATGGTGATATTGGAATTCGAGAGGGCAGCTGTAAGCATCTTACAGGTTCCGGTTTTGGCAGCTCGAGCAATCAACGCTCGTAGGAAGCCACATGTGAGTCTTTGATTGGAATCCCCATCGGAAGGCGCGATGTTGTTAAGAACCCACAAGATTTGTTGAGAGAGAGTAGCATCATTACTTTCGATTGCATTAGCACAACGAACAAGCAACTGCTCCATGCAGTTGGCATCCCCGAAGGTTCCAAGCGCCTTATTAGGCGCTGGAAATCCCGGCCAGGGTCGCGTACGATGGATTTGGTTTGGGTTCATAGGAGTGAAGTTTTGGCATGGTTTAGTGGTGAGATGGAGTGGTGGAGCTGGTAGAGTTTCAGTGAACTGCATCATGAGGAGAAGTGAGAAACAAAGGGAGAGAAAGAGAGAGAGAAAGAGAGAGAAAGAACGATGGCGACCAGACTAAAAAGTGGTACCTCTGTCTTCTGGGAATATCGGGATATGAAACAATATTTGTAGAGAGAAATCTGGGTAAAAATCTAAGCAAAATAGACTGATCATCATCGTATTTCCTAAAGATTGATAAAATAGGTATGATGGTTTAACGGCAAAACAGCTTTAGTTTTTCCGAAAATGATGTAACACAAGTAGACTTTTGAAGAGGGGAGACTACAATGAGGGTTTAGAAGCACAGTTGCAGAAGGTGATTTTGTGTCTGATTTGATGAAATTGTGTCATATAAAGGGGTGGTGGGGGTGGGAGGTAGTGTTGGAATTTGGTAGCATGTGAGGGTGGCCGGCCATGAGTTGGATGTATGTGGGAGTTGTGATTTTGTCATTTAATGTGTAATTAGATGGATGTGTTTGTGTAGATT